GTGTCTTTGTGCTTTGTGTCGTTGAAACCTTGAAATTTGTGCAAAGAATCATTCTAGAAATGTTAAAATTTTGCGCTAAAATGTTAAAATTTTTATTTAAAACCATTTCAGGAACAAGGCACTGCTTTTTGCGAGAAGTCACTTTCCTGCGAAGCCCGGCTTCGGCAGCGTGAAACGCTTTGCCAGCGGAAATATGCATTCCCAAATTCGAATGTTGGTCCGTTTAGCTCATACATCGTAGCAAAAAATAATAGAAATATAACATCTCATTCATGTAGTTGGTATCAGATGTTACTGAAATGCAGGTATTATTACGTCTATCAACTGAATAATTCAAGATTTCAATACAAGCCTAAATTGGGTGCAAAAATTTGGCTTAGATCGACATTTGCGAAAAAATATGAAAAACTGTTGACAAAATACTCAGTTGTAGTTCTGCAAAACTAATAGTCATTTCAAGTAACCCTTAAGAAGCCTGGTGTGATTTTAAGCCACAAAAAAATTGAAGTTGAAAGAGGAGGGAGGGATGCTGTTCACTATGCTAATAGTCAGTGTAGGTAGCATGATAAGGAGCGGTATTCCCAAAGGAAATCAGTAGAGACGCACAAAGATTGCCGGTTTAATCATGAGTTTTTGCACGATTCCGTCCTGAAAGAGATCGCCTATAATGAGGTTATCGCTGCGGCGCTGCAATTGAACATTTGATAAATTTGTAAACACTGGACATGCCTGAGCAAAAGCTCAGCTTAGACATGTTGACCCAAATAGCAACATCTTCAGAGAAATACTGCCTACGCTCAGCCTGGACACTGAGTTTGCTTGCACAAAAGACCTCGGCGTATTTTGAAGCTGAATTTGAAATATCATGGCCAGAGAGTCTTCTTAAAATTTCAGCTTCATAGCTTAGCTGTTTGGAGAAATCTCTTTTCGTCATAAATACTCTTAACATTTCCGATAATAGGCATGCGACAAGGGCTTATTTCTCGCCTACATGCCGGCGTACGGGCAAAAAATTTTCTCGTAGAAGCAGGGTACTCAACTTAATTTGTGTCCCAAATTGGCGTTCTGCCAAAAGCGCCTGAATTTCAGCTTTAGTGTATCAGCACGTATGGCCTAGGCTTGCATGACAGCTGCATTTGAAAATTTTTGCTCATGTATGGGTAGATAATATCCACGTGAAGTTTCAGTGCTCCACTATACCTGGTCCTCGAAGTCGTTTTCCCGCTAAAATATTTACATGTTTAGCTCCCCTTTAATTCAGGTGTGCTCAAACGTTAATTTTTACTTAAATGGTCTCATGTTGGCTAGAATATCTTTGTGAATACTCTTGCATAAATATGCAAAAACGCAAAAAGCAGGCATTTTTGCAAAAAAATATAATTTGATTATACAAGCAGCGCTTGGATTCTGAATTCCGAGGTACTGACAGATTGCAGTTGCAGACGAAGACGCGGAATTATCGGATTTAATTGTGCAAGCAGAACTGGTTGCTAATTCGGCTTTAGCAGGCGCAACAGAAGCAGTTTCAAAAGCATGCTTGAGGCCCATAACAAGTGTTGTTCAGCAGCAGGTGTGAAATTTTCCCACTCTGTATATGAAGCATATCCATTTAATTGTGTTTACATGAATTTTCAAGTTGTTTATCCTTAAAATCCAGAGTGAATCCAGGAATTAGTGGGACTAAATCTGCAATATTAAATTGAGTTAGATGAAGAGATCTCGATCATAATCACTTGTATGAACATCAAAATTTGGGTTACATAGAAAATAAGTCTAATATAGAAAGGAGATTTATTAAATACCAATTCATTGCAGCTTTCGGGCTTTCTGGATGAAATTGATTCGAGTCGCATTTCATGCACTCGTCGCACAGCTCCAATTCGAAATCTTATTGCATACAATGATGTAAGTTTTGTAAGCTACTTAAAGATATTGTTATGCTCTGATCGGATCAGAAGACGAACGAAAAAATAGAATGTGAAATATCTTAAAGATTTTCTAGAAGACGATGTGTGAAGCAATGATGCCACATTCACTGCTGGACGAAAAGGATGACGTGGACAAGGAGCTGTTTGATAATTTGAAATCTCGAAAAAGC